CTCTTGGACGATCTTGGACTGCTGGGGCTCGGGGATCCTCTCGACGGGAGCAACTTGCTGAACCCAGACCTGACAGCTTTTCCGATCTTTCCCGGCACAGTCCGTGAAGCCGACTTTGGTGACTGTTGGGTAGCACCGGTGCCCTTATCCACGGGCAGTTTTCCAGCAGCATTGGTAACCGAATCATTGCTTGCGGGCACGGTGTCGAGTAAGTCAGTATCACCAGTGCGTTCAGCCCGGTTATGGGAAGGAAATTTGGCCCAAGAACTCAAACCAGTTGCCAAGCCTTTTCCCTGAACGCGATTGATCTCCGGTGACTGGCCAAACACCTTATAGGTCCTCGCAGGCGATAGCATCAGGTCATTTCCCATATACGAGGTTGACGTCGGAGAAGTTGGGGATTCCAGCCGCTGCATTGCGCCATGGTAGTTGCCACAACTTGCAAGTGAGCTGCTGTGGTGCCTCAATACAAGTGCCATGCTCTTCGATCTACCGTGAAGCTCGTCATCTGGAAAGCTCGATCTCCTGTTGTGGTTTTCGTTCTGACAAACCGATGACGTGCGTTGCTGGGCTTCCTCGCAGATAGCTCGTCGCCAAAGCTCTCTGGCACTGTCTTCTCTTTTGAGAAACACTGGGGATCGTGGGACATCGGAGTATTCGCTCTTCTCCGTCACTCTTGAAACCGGACGATCAAAGTTGTCTACAAGCAGACGGCTCCTGGACAGTGGCGGTAGTTGATGTTGCCCTTCTGATCCATAACTATCGAAACCCCTGGATGCTAGCTTCGCTCGCCGGGGGAGCGTTAGATGAAGGCGAGCTAGCAGTGATGGCTTCGGTGACTCCGCGCGTGCCTCAGCTGCCTTTTGGAATCTGTTGATAATAGCGGATGGGGCACCATGTCCTAGCCGAAAACGTCCCATACTTTTATCCAATACCTCGGTCTTTGTATCCCTTCGGGCGTCATGAGAAAGTATCGGGGATGGCACGCAAGTAGATGGCAACCGCGTCCGAGAATGAGCATCTATGCCGGCGCTTGCGGATGAATTTCCACCTGTCGCGAGGGGAGAGCTTCCCAGGGACGAGTTCTGCAGGTGAGGATTCCCCATGTTCTCGAGCCCTGCGGACGCATGAGATTGGAAGACCAAGGAATGTGCAGAAATCAAGACTCACATTTGAAATCCGGCATTGTAAACGCCAAGGGGTATTTTCCGCTGGTGGTCCATCTGGGGATGTGGTAGGAGGATACGGCCGGAGTTGGATCCAGACTGTTTGCCACAGAAGGGTACACTGATGAAGAATTCGTGGCAATTCCACCCGGAGCAGCGTTCGATGTGCTCGCTCTGGGGGTGCTATGAGATTCGCAGTTTGTTGCGCACTGCCTGGGCTCTCCCATATTGCTGGAGCTGTGTTGGCCGCTTGAGCCTGCCAAACCACTATTCGTTGCTGAAGGAGACTGGCTGGACGAGTATTCAGGAGTGCTAAACGCCCGCGTGGTGAGCTGTTGGTGTATGTCCATATCATAAAGATGAACTATCTCGGGTCGTGGAAGGTCGGTCTCAGACACCACGCAATTCTGTACCGAGCTGCATCTTCTCAAGTACACTACTTCTGCCTCCTTGATGCTTCCCTGCTCGTCTTCGGATGTTCGTACGCCTGAGCACGAAGGCGAGGTTGATCGCAAGCCTTGGCTTCGCAGCCAAGTGCTCAGAGGAGACTGGTCCATGATGGATCGGGACCGTCTCTCGTTTCCGGGAGCCGGAGTTCCTGGAGCTGGAGTTCCGTGGCGGGCCGGCGATGAGCGGGACCTAGAAAGAGAACGCGAGTGACCAGAGAACGGCATTCGGCGCATGGGCGATACAGGCGCGGCCGACACTGGTGACAGCGGAGCCCTTCGAAGTGAGATATCGTCTTTGGACGTGGAACGTCTGTCCGGGTAGCCTAGTAATTCATCGAGTTGGCCTGCGCTGTACGAGAGCCGCAAAGAGCCAAGCGAGGATGAAGAAGACCGCGTGCTTGGGGCGCGTATAGGGAGGAAGTCCGGCGAAAGGGGCAGCAGTGTCGGCAGTGAGCTCCGCTCTCGGAGGAGGGCTTGTCCTGCAGGCTTGGGCGAGATCTCCGGACAGCTTGCTCGGCGCTCTTCGGGGTTGTCGGTCCCGTGGCTGATACCAGTCGTGTCTTGTAGCAGCAGAGATGTGCTGGCATCTATCTCAGTAGGGCTTGCGCATTGGGTGTCGAGTCTGCTGTCATCTGTGACGGAAAATTCAAGGTTGTCACGCGGGCCGCCCCCAGGGAGAACCTCAATGGATGGGCCGTGATGATGGTGACTCGAGGAAATATCAGTTTCTGTTGCCTCCTGGCCCTCCTCCGTCCGCAGCTCTTCTTGAATCCGCTTGTGCATCAGCCTCTTCAGCTCGGCCCGCCGCTCAATCTCTTCATAGCTGCTGCCGATAGCCGAGCGGGCTTTCCGCCGAGAGAGGGAGTCTTGCGATAGATGGCGGTGGATGTGGGTCCGGACAAGCTGGAGGGTGCTCGTGCTCTTGTTCTGCGGCCGCAACTCGAGGTCATCGTCGCTGTCCGAGTCTTCGACGACGAGCTGCCCCAGCTCGACTGGGTCAAGGGCAACAATGGTCGCAGGTACCGATGGCAGCGTCGAGGCCGGCGAGTTGGGCGAGTTTGGGGAGAGGCTGACGAATGCTGGAACAACCGGGTTCAGGGTAAGGGGGCCCGGGAGTCGAACTGGCGGAGGAGGTGTTGGCAGTTTGGCGTGTTCCTTGGTAGCGGCATATCGTGCTTTCAAGGACGAGCGGGGGGTGGTACAGCAGCAGAAGACGGCCATGGCGTGCGCAGCGGGCTCAAGCAAACATCACATATGGCAGATGGATGTAAGAGTTGGATCGAACCGCTTTCCAAGAAAAGGGCACCAGTGTCTGTGGCCGTAGCAACGACTCTGTGCCATGAAATGTCGCTGAAGATGTGGATGTGTCGAGCAAATAGGATGGGTAGCTGCACAGGACGTAGAGGCGGTAAGGTCTTTGAAGAGGGAGACAAACGCCCATCGCCAATCTCTACTGCCGAAGCAATTCGCCGACAACGGAGAAGGGGCTAACCAGGTTGCTCGCAGTGAGCGAGAAGGCAAGGTAGAATGAGGCAAGAGCAGCAGGGGTTCTTGGCTGATCCGAACCTCGAATTGTGGACAGACATAGAAAGTGCATTCATTTCACTGCCCTATGTGCATGGAAGGAAAGCACATCACACACCCAGCCGCTGCGGTATGACTTCCCTTGCACTTCCAAAAAACATGGGTCGGCATTTGGAAGGAATTTGCATCCGATAAACAGCTGGATAAGCAAGATAACCAATATCAAATCTAGGGGGTAGGTGCCTTGTGTATTGGCAAGACCTTGACCCCGTCGTACAGCCGTCCGCTCCCATCGTACGGCGTCGATTTACCCTTGTCGGCCCTCCAGGCGTTTTTGATCGCCTCCAAGACCCCTTGACCGCCTGCCCCTACGAGGTTGAGGTTTGGCGGAGGAATCGGCCGGTGCTTGTCCGTCTCGTTATGTAGAAACCCGGGGTAGGACACCGAGTTGTCCACGGCGGCTGCGTTTTCGGGGTCCTTGTTGTCCCTGTAGCCGCCGCCGGTATCCGCGGCGAAATGGAACACATTCGCCCCCACATCGTACCTGCCGAGGTTGGGCAGCTGCCAGTTATACTCAACCGTCGACAAGATGCTGTAGTGTGTGTAAAAAGTGTGGTCATCGGTTCCCTTGATGACCGGGCGGATAGCAGTTCCCAGCAGCAAGGTCACGATGTGATTCGGCTCCTCGTACGTTTCCGACTCGTCGAACGTGAGCATGATCAACGTGCGCTCGTCGAAGGCGTTATCTGCCAGCAGCGGCTGCAAAAACTTGTGCGACCACTCTGCAGCAGCTTGAAGAGTTGAATTGTGGCCATCGTTCATCATGTTTGGCGTCATGAACACAAACTGTGGCACCCGCCTCGCCGCGAAGTCCCGTTGAAAGTCATCAAACGAGAGAATCCGCAAGAGGCGCTCACCGTCGTTGGTGATGCTGTCGTATGAGACAAACGGGCTGTGCATCCGATTAGCAACCGGGCACAATTAAACTCTCTGGCCAAAAGGGGCCGTTTACTTGTGCTTCCGAACGTAATCCCACCCCCCATTTCCAGTCGAGCCGTCACTGTAGTCTCCCATAAACCCAGGACCCGGCATATCTTCCATATACGCAGCCCACGAGACATTTCTCGACTCCAACAAATCTGTAATGGTGAACACCTTTTCAGGGATCCGCAAGAAGTCATCGTGATTACACCCAAAGTAATCGCCCCCTAACGCCGCAAGATAGTTCGGCTGGCTTGGGTGAGTTTGCGCATAGTAACGATCGAGCAAGACACCCCGTCTCTTGAGGTCCGCAATGTTCGAATCAAGGACAACCTTGGCGAAGTCCTGCAGGTCCCGATAAGTCAGCGCGCATGCTGGGATGGAAAGAAAACTCAATGGAAACGAAAGCACGTACCTGGTTCTCCAACCATATCGTAATGATTCTCTCAAATGCCTTCCCAGGAACGATACCTTTACTATCCTTTGCGCCCGCGACGTCAAACCAAGTCGCCCCTAGGGCCAATAAGGACAGAAACTGTTTCATTTTCGCCAATGCATGATGCAGCAGTGTAGAAAACCCAAGCGCTGCCTCGAGGTTACGAGGTGTCGTTGGCGAGCGGAATGTCAGAACCACGTTGCATGTCTCTCCTTCGCGCGGCGCTGCGCCACAAACGGTACCCCGATTCGCGAGCAGGGGTGGTGCCTTAGCGATGCGGGGGAGCCAAGGAGTGCGGCTCTACCGCCAGAACGTCGGGGCCCCCAAATCCGTGTCGACTTCCAGGCTTCCCTTGCACGCAAGCGACCCTGCGGATGTGGAAGTCAAATGACAACAAAAATCCAGCAAAAAAGAACAAATAATCTATGCGATTATGAATTGAGTTGGAGGAGCTGGGAATCGAACCCAGGGCCTTTCGCATACAAGAGAGGATGCGAAGCGAACGCTCTACCCCTGAACTACACCCCCTTTTCTTGTTGATTGCGGGTTTCCAGCATGGCATTATGGATCCTCGCTCAGATCAGTTGGGTTTGAGATTTGGAGCCCGGAACACAAGTGATGAGAAGTGATTGAGATATAAGTCATGGGCTCAGGCTGGCCCAGATGTCCTTAACTCGATCTACCCCCCCCCCCCCCCCCCCCCCCCAAATGCCTCATCTCGTCAAAACGAGAGAATAAAACCAGCGTCCCAGCCAGCCAGCCCAAATAAACCAAAACGGGCATCCCGTCCATCCCATCCTAGACAGGTATAATCGTACACGGGTATCTTTCTGCTGAGCGAGTGCCCCAAAAACGACCGAAAACAACACCAATCCCGCCAAAAAAGAGCGCCTTTCCATCTTCCCATCCCAGTCATAGATATCGATCCTCCAAATCAAACCAAAACCAGAAACTTTTTCCACCGGCGGTATCTCGCCATCTAAAACGCCCCAAACAAATAACCAATTCGTCCATCCGTCCGTCTATTGAGTCCCAAACCCAACCACCCTGACCAAAAAAGAATGTCTGAAATGCATATGTTGCTCATGCCATGCAGATGCCACGCAGAATGCAACGGCCCCTAAATCTTACTTCCCCGGCGGCCCATTCCTCAACATCGTCTCCCAATCCTGCTCAATCGCGCTCGCCCCACTCACTCGATTCGAATTATCCCCCGCCCTCGAGACCGACCTCAACGGAAAGCCCATATTACCATTACTTCCCCCGCCCCCTCCATGCCCCCTTCCCTCACCGTAGTGTCCATGCCCTCCAGGAACATGATCCGGATTCACCTCCTCGATGACCTCCACGCTAACCGTCTTGATGATCCCCCTAGGCCACGCCTCGACATCCACAGTCTCCAAGCTCTCTTCTCTTCTGTGATAGCGTCCGCGCCGGCTGTCGTTGAAATCATAATCATCCTCGTCTGCTTCATCAATGAAATTCCTGTTGCCCCGTGTGCTATGCTTGCTGCTGGCTCGGCTCCCACTCCGCTCGAAGCTCTCCCGGCGGGGGCCCTCGATGATTAGAGTCGTTGGCTTGAGATCAATATCGGCATCGGAGCGGTCCGAGGCACGCGACTCGGCATGTCGGGAACTCGCGCGGGAAGATGCGCGGGTGATGGGGCGGGTGCTGCCGGCTCGACTGGGAGCCTTGCGGCTGCCGCTGGTGAGTTGGCTGCGGGCCTCGGCGGAGAAGAGGGGCCCGAATGTGAGGATGTTGGCGGCGATGAGACCGATATTTTGTTCGAGGTTGGCCATGAGGCTGGCGTAGAAGGTGTGGGAGGTATAGAAGGGGACTCGATTTATTTGGGATGCATCGGCGGTCTTGACGATGGTGAAGATACCGCATCTGGTGTTGATGTCAGTCTGCTATCCTTGCCCGAGGAGGGTAGAGACTCACGCAAAGCTGAGTGTTGAGGTGACATAAAACGGCCACGAGATATTACCATTAATCCGTAGGTCTCGGACAATCAATACTGGAAACGCGGCAAGAAAAGCCCACGAAAAGACAGAAAATGCTGTCGAAAGAGTCAACATCAATACTTCAACAAGGGACATTCCATTCTCGCCGGATTACTTACCGCCTTGAAAATAACCAAAATTAAGCTGGACACTCGGATCCCAGCATTCACCAGCAACATTGGGCCTCCATAGCTTCTCAAGCGGTCGGCACTGGAGGTTCATGGCCAGAGAGAAGCTGAAATTGACACCGGCCATAAAGAAGATCAAAAAGCCCAGGAGTATCTTCCATTGTCGGTCCCGTCCAAGGAGGCTAATAAAGAGAAGGCAGATGGCAATCTTGGATAGAGTAGCGCTCATAAGATACCACGGCTGCCCCAGGACATCAAACTCCAAGGCACGGGATGGATCTGATGTCGTACTCTCAACAATCCCAAAAATCGTTCCTATCAAAGCCACCAGCTATCCTCTTGGTTAGCCTCCCCTCTCGACTCTTTGGAGGTGAACTAAACCTACCGAAGCCACCCCGCACGTATAGTCATCGGCACCAAAATGTTTGTTGATTCCTGCCCGGACGCAGAAGCGGACAAAGGTCGTGGCGAGGGCGAAGCTCGACGTAGCCAAGGACAAGGAGAGAAGGACCGGCCCTCCAGAGAGATCGGCTTCGGTTTGTGGTGTAGCCATGTTGGCTTAGGGGGGAGGAAACGCACTAGAGTATTGGTGCCCGGCAGGTGTTCATGATACCGGGTAGTTGCCGAAAGAATGAGAGCAGGAGACAAGGACAGGGCCGCAGGGGGGTAAGCCGGCCGATCGAAGTCTTTTAAGAGAGAGGCCTGAAAGAGGACACAGACTTGGTGTGGGTTGATGCTGGCACTGCGGCGAGTGACGGCTAAAGGGAGCGACAAGTAGGCAGGGATGCTGATCGGGGGTGTCCGAAACCAACGGAGGAGTTCATACCAGAGCAATATGCAACTGGTTCCGGGGGCGGACCGGGAGGGTAATAAACTGATTCGCGCCTAGAGAGATCGGGTCCGACCTCACAATGCGACCAAGCGATGGGCTAGGGGGGCTGCTGCAGGTATATATGCGGGGCGTGGGGGTAGAGGGCGTCAAGAAGAGGTCTCGTGTAGCCTCAACTGGGCAACATAAAACACCCTCTATCAGGGAACGACGACCACCGAGTAACCGGGAATGAGGCTTGCTGAAAGCGGTTTGAACGGAGGGTGAACAAACACAAGAAAATGAAGCATGAAGTTTGAAAGCATCAAGTCAATCCTCTCCAATGTTTGTCGTTTCCAGCTTGCTGGGGAAACCAGATTCGCCGTCTCTGTCTTGAACCAAAACGCGGTGCAACGAGAATAGAAATAGGCTAAAACACGCCATCGAGCAAGAGAGGCAAGAGAGGCAAGAGCGGCGAGGAAATCATGGCATTTCGTCGGTGGGCGAACCAAAATCGACAACCAGATCCAAGACAAATTGGAAGAGGCAGATCCTGAAGCGGTACTCGCTCGGCGACTCCAAACAAGGGCGGAAGTGCCGGCGAGTCCGTGTAAATGCGGGATGTCTTCATGCGTTAGCCAGCGGCCCTCCGGGAATTAGGAGAGAAAGAGAGACAGTAAACGACAACGCCCGCTTGGGTGGAAATCGCTGGAACCGAACCCCATTGGAGCGACAACCCGCTGTCTGAAACAACGCCATCAGCGAGCTAATCAGAAGGCAAATGGGCTGACGATATGGCGACTTTGATGAGACATGCGGAAAAGATGATGACAGCGGCAGGAAGAGTCGATCGATTGGCAGCCAGATGCGCCGCGCTGAGATGATGGAAATGAGGCGAGGAACTGCGCAGCTCATCGAAGCACTTTGGAGACGCGCCACATGCACGTCCAGGTCCAAGTCGCCCCGTTCTGGTCCTCAGCCAGAGGCGTGGCGAGCTGTCGCATGATTTTTGCGCCCACAATGTTGTCGAAGGGGTTGTAAGAGACGTGTGATCGTCGTTGAAGAAGGTTGGCAGAACAATCTCAGACAGGTGCACGGGCCTGGGGTTGGGGCAGCTGGCCCACTGGGCGTGCCTGCCAAGCCGGAACCCATCTCCCTGGGAGCCTTGGAAACCTTCGACTGGTCTTCGAATTTGAGCATCTCCCATCGCTCTATTTCAATGCTCACACCAAAAAAGAACAGCGGGACCGCCAATCCGGGACAACACATATGCTAATAGTAATGCTATGTACCTCCTATTCAGCCAATTGACTGGCACCAGGTAAGTATGGGTACACTCCTCCATCATGAACTCGTTATTCGGTACAGGGTACGCCACTATGAGATTGTGGTTCTAAAATCGAGACTCGACTTTCTTCATCGTTTGCTGCAACGCCCAGTCGCTGGACTGCGCCTTGCTCCGAGCAGCCGTGGCCTGCTGCTCGGTGAATCCCTTAGCCTCAACAGCAGGGTTGTAGCCGAGCTTGTTGATCTTCCCCACGGTCGCCGAGTCCACCTTCGGTGCTTCCTTGCCATCGGCGCGCCGATACACGGTAACTACAGCCGCGCCACCTAGTCCGAGGTTGTGCTGCAGAGCATACTTAGTATGCGGTACCGCCCGGTTGTTCGCCCACCCTCGCAGGTGCCACACAAGCTCGGCACATTGCGCAATGCCCGTGGCTCCAAGGGGATGCCCCTTCGAGATGAGGCCGCCACTGGGGTTGATCACAACTTTGCCGCCGTAGGTGATACCGCCGCTTCGTACCAGTTCGTGTGCCTTGCCGGGCTCGGACAGACCAAGGGCGTCAATGAGGATCATCTCGTTGGCGCTGAAGCAATCGTGGAGCTCGCAGACGGAGAAATCGCTAGGCTTGACCCCGGCCTCGGCCATGGCGGTCTGCGCGGCGAACTTTGTCATCTCCCGCCCCATCAGGTCGATTGAGCTCTTGGAAAAGAGGCTGGGCCCGTCGGTGGCGAGACACTGCCCTGCGATCAAGATGGCCTGGTCCTTCAGGTGTGGCCTGGCGTCCAGGAACTCTTGAGACACAAGAACCGCTGCGGCGCCGCCATCTGATGTCGGGCAGCACTGGAGTTTCGTCAGAGGCTCGTGGATCTTGGGCGATGCCATAACCTGCTCGAGCGTGTACACGTCCTGGAACTGGGAGTAGGGGTTGTTGACCGAGTGTGCGTGGTTGATCCGAGCGATCTCGCCGAAATCCTCGGGCTTGGCGCCATACCTGAGATCGGCGGTCAGTATCTCAAGATGGACGCACGAAATCGACAGCGGGGGGCTTACTTCTCCATATATTCGCGACCAGCATTGCCGAACATCTGAGCAGCGCCGGGGCTGTTTGTGACGCCTCTTGTCTCGGCCATCATCTTGTAAGTGGTCCCGAGGGGACTCTCCCTGTCATTAAAATGGCTCTGCAAGGAACCCGGCATCATCTTCTCGAAGCCGACCACCAAGATGCAGTCGGCGCCGCCAGCCGAGATGAGGTTCCGGGCCATAGCCAGGCCGGTGGAGCCGGTAGAGCAGTTGTTGTTGACGTT